TACCTTACCTAAATAAACATTTATTTATTTATTTATTTATTTATATTTTGGGGAATTGGGTAGCACTAGATACAGTGCAAGTTTCAAGCACTAGGTAGGAAACTATGACCTACAGTTGAAATTTAAATTAGGTACTTTTTGGTTGTATTTTTGAGTTAGTTTAGTTCTTTTATTATGCACCCTATACCCATCTTGTGGGCGGTAGTGGAAAGGGTTACAGAGGCACATAATGGGCTCAGGGACTGAACCCCACATTTATAAATTTTGCAAGTATTTACCTACTTAAAATTTTCTTAGATTAAGGATCTGCCAGAAACGCTGCGCGTATTAGTGGCTTTACAAGAATGTAATTACTATGCTAAGTACCCTCACAATCCCAATGTACCTTCTTGTATATATATAAATAAATATATAAATAAACTTAGCTAAGCAAGTTACAATGTATTTTTGAATAAGGCAAAAGTTTGACAGCTTTTCAGTTCGTTAGGGAGTGAGTTCAATAGACTTTTACACAAAAGACATGTACAGACAAGCGTGTGGCTTCTGACTTCGTTTTTATTCATTATTACATATTAAGCACTTACATTTAATAATTATTATTATATACAAGGATAACTATCACATAATAAATATAATAGGAGTTTAACCAAAAACTGGCCAAAGTCTTGTAACGGTTCTATTGTTACGTAAAGTATGGTGACAAATAAACACAGACACTAAGATACTATATGTATATTTGGTCGAATATACAGAAGTACACCGGTGATACGTTGGTGTGAGTTGAGCGCACTGAGCGTTGGTACAGTATCTCGCAAGTGTCTGCTCTAGACCACACTTGAAAGTAGACTAGTTAATGTTTGCTATTCTTGCCGCTTATATTGCTCGGGCAACACCTCACCGTGCTGCCCGGGCAACGCCTCACCTCATTCATCTCCAAAGGTTGACAGGAATATTAACACTATATTTGGAGCGAGTATATTATTGGGATAATCTACTCGCTACAGAACTCCCCCTCCCAGGGGATGAAAGGAAAAATACTTGATCAAGGAACTTAGCTGGTCGGTGAATTGTACGCCCTGCTCGCGTTACATAACCTTGCATAACCCTTGCTAATGATATTCCATCTTCCAGTACTGACATTAAGGACTATCTTACAGGGAACTATCCCCAGTCTCTGTACCTAAAGCCTATTAATTCCATTGACGTCAATGAGATAATCCTTTCCCTTAAAACCAAGTCTGGTGCCCTTGAGGAGATACCAACTTTAATCTACAAAAAAGCCTCCAGATCTTTAGCCCCTGCTATTGCTTTGCTCTTCAACAAGTCACTTGAACTCCAAACCTTTCCAGATATTCTAAAAAAAAGCGAGAGTAACGCCTGTCCACAAATGTGGTGATCTCACAGATGTTAACAACTACAGACCTATATCAATCCTGCCAAACTTGTCAAAAATTTTTGAAAAACTAATCTATAAGCAGCTTTACTCATATCTAGCCAAACTCAATATACTTAGCCCTTGCCAATATGGCTTCAGGCCCAAAAAAAGCACTAACAATGCACTTATTAGTATGCTTAACTCGATTCATACAGCTCTTGATAAAAATGAGTTCCCTGTTGGGTTATTTGTGGACCTGCGTAAAGCTTTCGATACTGTCAACCACCAAAACCTTCGTCTTAAATTACATCATTATGGTGTCAGAGGACACTCCCTACAATACCTCAAATCCTACTTTACTGACAGGCTCCAATGTGTTTCTGTGAATAATACAATTTCTCCCACCCTACCCATCAACATTGGTGTTCCCCAGGGCAGCATACTTGGCCCTCTCCTCTTTCTCATCTACATTAATGACCTTCCAAATGCCTCCCAACACCTCAAACCAATCCTATTTGCTGACGACACAACCTTCATTTACTCCAGTCCTGATCCCCTTGCTCTAAATGCCACAGTAAATACTGAGCTAAATAAAGTCCATCTGTGGCTAACTGCCAACAAACTCACCCTTAACATTGACAAAACTTTCTATATTCTGTTTGGCAATAAATCCTCTAATCAAATAAATCTCAAAATAAACAATACCCAAATTTGTAACAAATTAGATGGCAAATTCCTTGGCATTCTCATTGACCACAAGCTGAATTTCCAGGGACACATTCTAAACATATCAAAAAAAGTTTCAAAAACTGTGGGCATTCTTTCTAAGATCAGATATTATGTACCCCGCCCTGCCCTGGTGACTCTCTATTACTCCCTTATCTATCCATATCTCAACTATGGTATTTGTGCTTGGGGCTCTACTACCCAAAATCACTTACGTCCTCTAATTACTCAACACAAAGCTGCTATTAGGACAATATCCAATTCTGGCCCCAGACATCACTCGGTACCCCTATTCAAATCCCTGAATATGTTAGACATTAAGTCACTGCACATTCTCTCATGTGTACTATACATATACAAAACGCTAAATTGTAATGCCAATCCTGATCTCAAAAGCTTCATAGAAGGTTGTAACAGAACCCATGAGCACCACACCAGAAATAAATACAGTTTTGATATTCCTAGAGTACGACTTAATCAAACCAGAAATGCTCTACAAATCAAGGGGCCCAGGATGTGGAATGACCTTCCCAACCATGTTAAAGACAGTACCTCTCTCAACCAGTTTAAGGTAAAAACGAAGCTATACCTAATAAATTCCCTGTAACCTACCTTACCTCTCTATTGTCAACCCATGTATGTTTTTTTTTGTTTTACAAATCAACGCTGTTTTAATGTAATTTTCTGTAATAATTTGTAATTGTATTTGTGCTGTTTTTTCAACAATGTTCCCCCCTCTTTTACCTCTATTTTTATTTGTACTCAACGCATTTTTTTCTTTTTACCCATTAGTTTTAAGCTTTAGTCAGTAGTGTTTTTTCCTGCCCGAAACGCTTTGCGTAATAGTGGCTTTAGGCATTGTATGTACTAGCTCTTATCTATAAAGCCAACAAACTTTGTAAAATCTCTTTATGTATGTACCTTTGCCTAAATAAAAATTATTATTATTATTATTATTATAACCATCAAAGTTAACTTCCTCCTCTTCGCTGATGTCATATAACTGGGGTCGTAGGGTGGGAGGTCGCTCAGGATCGTCCGTCGTCGTAGGATCAGGTTGTGGTGCGGCTGGTAACTGGGGTTGTAGGGTGGGAGGTCGTACAGGATCGTCCGTTGTCGTAGGTGGCGGTGCTGCTGGTAACTGTGGTCGAAAAGTGAACTGCGTAGTCGGCGGATGTGTCTCTGGATTTAGCAGTGTTGCAGACGTTGAGACCAAGCCTGGAGCAGAGCAGAGAGCTGAGTGAGGCCGGAGTCGTGGAGCTCTGTGGGAGAGCGTGGCGGCTCGATTGAGAATTGTGAGTGTCTAAACTCGGGGAGCGAGAGCGTGGCGGCTCGATGCGGTCGTAGTCTGCTGTCTGCTCTGTGTCGAAGCTGTAGCGTCTTGGGTTGATTAGGACTGTACACGCCGAGTACTACATTGTTGACTGTGGAAATTGTAGTCTGATACCAAAAGATGTAGGCAGTGTGTGGACAAGCTCGGTGTAGCAGGAGAGAAGAATGTGCATAATTGTTGCGTCCTTGGGTCGCTGGTGGAGCATTTAGATCCGGGGCGGATGGGCTCGGGCACCAGGACATTAGGAGGTAATGTAGGCACGTAGTTAGGACAACGAGGTAATCACTGCTAGAGCTGAATTGTCCTGGAGGCGACGAAGAGTCGGAAAAGCAAGCTGTAAGTCCTGTACTGCGCAAAGTGCTTGAGTCGGCAGAGTATCAGAATGCAGTGAACGTGTAGATGAATCTAACGAAAGAGCAGTTTTCGTGGGCGCCCCTGTAGAACAAGCAGTGCCCTGGCAGCGACGGAGAGTCGGCAGGACAGGCTGTAGATCCCACATTATGTAGTTACTGATGAAGCTGCCAGATGAGTGAGTAGTGATCGTGGAGCAGCAAGCCGTAGTAGATGAAAAGGCAGAGACGATCGCGGTGAAAATCATAGCTGTGGCGAGCGTGTTGGCAGCGTTCAGTGACAGGTGGCAGCGGTCCACAGCAAGCAGCAGCAGTAGAGGTCCAGTAAGAGTCCATGTTGTAGTCCATCGTGGCTGGGTATCGTCGAAACTCTCTGGGGTCACCAATGAGACGGTTCTATTGTTACGTAAAGTATGGTGACAAATAAACACAGACACTAAGATACTATATATATATTTGGTCGAATATACAGAAGTACACAGGTGATACGTTGGTGTGAGTTGAGCGCACTGAGCGTTGGTACAGTATCTCGCAAGTGTCTGCTCTAGACCACACTTGAAAGTAGACTAGTTAATGTTTGCTATTCTTGCCGCTTATATTGCTCGGGCAACACCTCACCGTGCTGCCCGGGCAACGCCTCACCTCATTCATCTCCAAAGGTTGACAGGAATATTAACACTATATTTGGAGCGAGTATATTATTGGGATAATCTACTCGCTACAGTCTTCTTCATGCCCGAAACGCTTTGCGTAATAGTGGCTTTAAGTGTAAAAATAATAGTGTAAAAATTTATTGTATGTATGTACCTTACCTAAATAAAATATTATTATTATTATTATTATTATTATTATTATTATTATTATTACTATTATTATTATTATTATTATTATGTTTTGTGCGTTTAATCATGTTTGTGGGCATTCGGATGCGTAGTGTTTACGCTGGCGGGCGGCGTTCTTACGAAGCCCGGATTATGGCCATCCGGGCGCATCCGATCCCACGATCGTCGTCGCCCCTAAATCAACACAACATTATGTCCATCACATCTCTAAACTTCATTTAATAACTATATGCCTGTTAAGTAGAATATTTTAAATGTTAGTAACATTATATTATGTTTTTAATATTGAGCAATTATATATATACGAAACGTTCAAATTTGGTGTCCGTAATGGTAAAAATATGAGTGCGATCCGTCGGCTGTACCGACGGATCTAGTATCTAGTATCCGCGAACACACGAGGGAGACGGAGGCGTGATCAGCTGTTTTGTGTTGTTCCCCGTCGTCTGCTGCCGCTGTGTTCATATAGAGCACTCCTTTGAACACTGAACACTCCTGTGAGCCCCGAGCACTCCTGTGAGCCCTGAACACTCCTGTGAGCCCTGTACACCCCTGTGAGCCCTGTACACCCCTGTGAGCCCTGAACACTGGTCGCCCCACCTATGGGAAGTCGTCGCTGTGTAATCCAGATATCAGGAGCTGCAGTTGTGTTGGCTAGGGTTGTGGACGGGTGTTAGTGGACACTGGAGGTGCAGCGACGTTGGAGGTCGTCAGGGGCGACATGCTGATCACTCCTCACCCACCACCAGGTAACACAACACCTGTGGCTGCCATGGGTGTGTTGGCAGGGACGGTGAGCACCTGTGGCTGCCATGGGTGTGTTGGCAGGGACGGTGAGCACCTATGGCTGCCATGGGTGTGTTGGCAGGGACGGTGAGCACCTGTGGCTACCCTGGGTGTGTTGGCAGGGACGGTGAGCACCTGAAGCTACCCTGGGTGTGCTGGCAGGGGATGGTGAGCACCTGAGGCTACCCTGGGTGTGCTGGCAGGGGATGGTGAGCACCTGTGGCTGCCCTGGGTGTGTTGGCAGGGGACGGTGAGCACCTGAGGCTACCCTGGGTGTGCTGGCAGGGGATGTTGAGCACCTGAGGCTACCCTGGGTGTGCTGGCAGGGGATGGTGAGCACCAGTGGCTGCCCTGGGTGTGTTGGCAGGGGACGGTGAGCACCTGAGGCTACCCTGGGTGTGCTGGCAGGGGATAGTGAATGGTGAGCACCTGTGGCTGCCCTGGGTGTGTTGGCAGGGGACGGTGAGCACCTGAGGCTACCCTGGGTGTGCTGGCAGGGGATGGTGAGCACCTGTGGCTACCCTGGGTGTGCTGGCAGGGGATGGTGAGCACCTGTGGCTGCCCTGGGTGTGTTGGCAGGGACGGTGAGCACCTGAGGCTACCCTGGGTGTGTTGGCAGGGGATGGTGAGCACCTGAGGCTACCCTGGGTGTGCTGGCAGGGGATGGTGAGCACCTGTGGCTGCCCTAGGTGTGTTGGCAGGGACGGTGAGCACCTGTGGCTGCCCTGGGTGTGTTGGCAGGGGACGGTGAGCACCTGAGGCTACCCTGGGTGTGCTGGCAGGGGATGGTGAGCACCTGTGGCTGCCCTGGGTGTGTTGGCAGGGGACGGTGAGCACCTGAGGCTACCCTGGGTGTGCTGGCAGGGGATGGTGAGCACCTGTGGCTGCCCTGGGTGTGTTGACAGGGGATGGTGAGCACCTGTGGCTGCCCTGGGTGTGCTGGCAGGGGATGGTGAGCACCTGTGACTGCCCTGGGTGTGTTGGCAGGGGATAGTGAGTACCTGTGGCTATCTTGGGTGTGCTGGCAGGGGATGGTGAGCACCTGTGACTGCCCTGGGTGTGTTGGCAGGGGATAGTGAGTACCTGTGGCTATCTTGGGTGTGCTGGCAGGGAACAGTGAGTACCTGTGTCTGTGTTGGGGGTTCCTGGGGCTCATGGGGGTGGGGGGAAGAGTCTGCTTGGAGTGCTTGGACTCTCTTAATCCTGCCTGGGCCTTTGTGCCTTCTGAGCAGGGTTTGTTGTTGCAGGCTGTTTTTTTTTTTTATCTTCCGTCCCTGTATGAATTTGAGTTGGGTGCAGCTCTCCCCCCTAGGGTTCATTTTTGATTGCCTTTGGGTATCTCGGATACATTTTTCCTGTGGTTTCCTTCTTCTTGGATTCCTCTGCAGAGGTTCGGGAGGTCCTTGATGCGTGCCTCCAGTGAGACCCGGTTTACGCCTCGATAATGGATCTGACTTCTTTTGAGTTTGGTTCTTCTTCCCCATGGTAGGTGCATTACGAGGTTCCGGAGTCTTCGTGGCTCCAGGAAGACTGCCAGGAAGTTGTCTTCTTCCTAAAGAAAAAGAAAATGCAGAATAGAACGAGTGAAGAGCAGAAGTGCAATAGGCACAATCAGAGAACACTTTATAAACATCAGAGGTCCGTGGTTGTTCAACGTCCTCCCAGCGAATATAAGAAATATTGCCAAAACAACCGTGGATATCTTCAAGAGAAAACTAGACTTTTTTTTTTTTTTTTTTTTTTTTTTTTTAGAAAACAGTGCTGGACCAAACGGGCTGTGGTGGGTATGTGGGCCTGTGGGCAGCTTCAAGCAACAGCCTGGTGGACCAAACTCTCACAAGTCAAGCCTGGCCTTGGGCCAGACTTGGGGAGTAGAAGAACTCCCAGAACCCCATCAAGCATGTATCTCTTTTTCTTGAGCTTGGCATAGATTTTGCTGGACCCGCATGCTTGAGTGGTGAGAGGGTTCCTTGGTGTTGCAGGTGTTCTTGGGGGGGCTCATTGGAGTTCCTCAATGAGTGCCTCTTCACCCCTGTGCTTTCCTGTGATGTGTGTCTTTATCGGTTACGTGCTCAGGTCCCCTCTCTTTCGGCTGCCTTGGTAGATGACCATTGAACTCTGAGTCATTTATCTTCCATCTTGCACTTCGTCGGTCTTCTCGAGCTGTCCTCGGATTGACTTTCGGAGGATGTGGAGGTGTTGAGTGGAGGACCTTCAGTCGGTGTTCTGGTTTCGGCTGCCGTGGCATTGGCTGCCTTGTTAAAGCTGTTTGCCCCCAATCCTACAGGAAGGGGTTTCTATGTCTTTTGCCTCCTGTCTTGCATGTCGGCAGGCTGTCCTTGCTCTTTAGATTCTGCTTAGGCACTGGCTTTACAGTTTTTATCTTTGTTCTGTCCCCCCGTTATTTCTGGAGAACTGTGTTATTAGGTTTTTGGCATCAGCTTCATTCATTTTGAGTGATTCTTTTGTCATGTCTTTTAGCTGTTTTAGTGGTTTGTTTTCATGAACCGTGCAGTTGTTATTGTCTCATCTATTTTATGGTTGCTTTCCCAGTGAGGGTGATTGTAACAATCACATGCTGTCTGTTCCTCTGGGAAGGAAGCCAGGTTCTGGCTCTGGTTCCTGGTAGTCTAACTGCTTATGAACTGACATGACTGAGTAATGGCAAGGTTTATAGCTTCAGCAATATAGCTTTAGGGAGCCACTGGATCTCTCTCAGAAATGAGTGTTTCATTACATTCACCACTGTTTTTGGTTTTGTATACGCAATTCTGTACAGAACTTGTGTAGGCAGTCATTAGCGATTCTCTTAATTTTTGTTGCTCATTGAAAGCGAATGACGACTACTGTATTTCATTTGTTGCAGACTTAACTAATGAACATGTGGACTTTTTCAGAAAATGGTTTACAACATTTAATATACAAGATTTCAAAATTTTTTGTGGTTGAAATAACTAAGGAAGATAATGCAGATTGAGGCCACCCAAATTAGAAAGTTAAACTTTAGGAGAGAGCATGGTATGAGGAGGATATAAATTAGAAAAAGAACTGATCAAAATACTTTATAGTCTGCCATAGCCTAAGTGTTGACTGTATTTCAAAATATAATATATTTTTCAGGCAAAATTGAATGACCTGATAATGAAAATTGTCATTCAACTATAAAATTGGGCCCTCTGTCAGTGCAAAGTAAAGCATATATTATGGCAGGACTTGATGACTACCAGTTTTTCTCAAACCTACGTGAGAGAGATACTCCATTCTGGCAGAAGACATACGAAGATAAAGAAAGACCAATGGATACACCAGACTATTACCGGCGCCCCACTGAGTTCCCTCAAAATCTACTGAACCCTGCACATGGTTCCCCTCAAACTGCCAAGCCAGCTGTGCCAAAAACCCCTGATCTGGATGCATACAGAGGTAATGATTAATTGTACTTATTGGAAAGCTTAAGTAAATTTTTCTATGGTGTTATGACGTGATTATATACAGTACTTTGTGATTCAAATTAAAAATACACTTTACATAGAGAATTTAAAATATAATCCACTTGGATTACATAAAGTTGAGTACATAATTGATGCATTTCTGGGTTTCAAGAAAAAACACTTCTCTCAAGTTCTTGTATTCCTGTGTGATTGTCAGGATGAACTTAGCCTTTTGTGCCTTTCATTACAAGAGAAGCAATTGTCTTGCCAAAATTTGGTCTACAACCGTCAGACTTATCCAAAGTCTGCTCATCTGAATATTTGGGTTATCTGTTAAAAATTGTGGCCAGATATTGTTCTGGCAAAACTTTGTCATATCTGGATTGAAATTTGATTTCAAATTTTAATCCAGATATGGCTTTGCCATATCTGGATTGAAATTCTGGTGATTGATTGGAGGTTTGGCTGAATAGTGCTGACTGGTATGGGTTCGAAATCCAATCTGGATAACTTTCTGCTAAACTTCACTATATCTGGACAGAAATCCAGAAAAAAGGAGATTTTGCGAGACACTGGAAAGAGGCATGGGCCATACTGTATTAATCGAGTACAGCATTGGCTTGAGGCGCAGGGTATGGGAGGTATTGTAGTGGGTGGTTGCAAGGTACGGGGTGTTGGAGGAGTCAGAAGGGACTGTCTAGGGGATGAGAAGGCCTATAATCTGTATTGTATAGAATAACCAAGAATTATGTTAAAACAATTCATTACAGTAAAAATTAAATCAATATTATCTAATATTGTAACAAATGCAAATTTTGTAAAAACTGCATATACAAGATAAAGTTTGTAGTTTGCTGCTAAAATTTGGGGATTTGTTTTCTGGCTGGCAAAAAACAACCTTGCCTCCAACAGCCTTGTCCTGGCTGCAGTCTTTTGTTGTTGTCAGTCTCAGGTGATTTGGTGGTTGCTCTAGCAGCTGTGTGGGAGCCTCTGCCTTGTCCTCCTGATTCACCTCTTGGGCAGAGTTTGGCTTAGGAGATTGTGTTAGTTCCTCTCCGGGCTCTCCCTGTGCCACTGTTATGACTGTTGGGTTCGAACTCCATTAGCCCTCTGTCGGCTGCTGCTGTGTTGCCGGCTTCCTCTTTGGGCTTTTTGGGGTTCGATCCCCTGGTGCCTTCCTCCACCTGCGTTCGACGTTTTTACGGATGCCTCGGCTCTTGGCTGGGGTTTTGTCACCAGTGATCATCTGCCCGATTAGGGGTGTTGGTCTTTTTTTTTGGCAGGTGCATAGCACTGTGCTATAGTTTGCAGCTGTGTGGCATGCACTACAGAGGATTTGGATTTCTTTAAGCTCCGCAGTCCAACTCCATTCGGATTACTCCCCTGGTTCATTTTCTCAACCAGAATAGTTCGCTTCGGTCCCTGCCTTCGGTTCCTTCGTGTCTTCACAGAATGAACTGTCAATGCCGCCTCCTTCCTCTGAATCTGTAAGACATTCGGTCGCTCGGTTGTGGACCTCTTCACACCAGCTTGGTCCCGGCGTCTTTCTCTTTACGTGGCGCTGTTCCCCAATTGCGAGGTCCTTGCAGTAGACTCCTTTAGGCTGGACTGGTCATGGTGAAGGGTTTCTGTGCCTCTTTCCTTTGGTCTAACTGTTACTCCAGTCCTGGTTCTGTGGAAGTCCTATGAGGGAGAAGGGGATCCTTCTGGGTTCTTAGTGGCTGGCCCAGCCTCGATTTCTGATGCTGCTTGCTTAGTGTCCAAACCCGGTCATTTTTCCGCAGTTCCACATCTTCCAGAGGGTCAGTCCAGTCACATGCTTCGCTGGTTTTAATCTCCTCTGCTCTTTGCTTCTGGAGTTTTTGACATTTGGAGATTTGCCTTGTTTCATGAGATTGCGTGGCTTTGTTGACGTATCCCACCTGCGGTCTTCTTCGGAGTGGTGGTGTGTGGTGAATGGATTTGATTACCTGCCTAATTTATGGAAGTTCCAGGGATCATCATCCCTGCAGCCTGGTCTCTGACCAAGCCTTTGCCTTCCCCACTTGTGAGTTGTTTGCTACTCTCTTTCTTCCTCTTTGCGTTCCTTCATTTTATACAGTTCTTCGTCTTTTCTCCTTTAGCTTCTCTTGGTTCTTGATTCTCTTAACTTCTTCATCTTATGTCACCTCTGTTGCCTTGTGTTCTTTGTTCCTACAACGCTGGCAGGGCCACTGCAGTTTGCATTTGGGGTCAACACTTCCTTAGCTCTGTTAAGCAGGCTGTTTTGGGTGCTGTTCACCTCCAGTCTGCGTTGTGTCGCTTGGGCTGGATTGTCCTTTGGCCCTCGTTTCTTCTTTGCTTTTCTGAGGGAAACCCCGTCGGCTCCCCGGAGTTATCCAGGCTGAATGGATACGTATAACTTTCTGGCATAAATCAAAGTGCTTGGAGTTCTTGCCTACCGGGAACCACGAGCCAGAACCTGGCCCCCTAAGAGAGGCACGAGGAGCAATGGCCTATAGAAAACCCCCTCCGTGTGGTTGGGCGCATTCTATGTATGCCATCGACTGGGATATGCACCCAGAAAGATAGAAAATCAAAACAAACCCCTATTCTGGTGAAAATATTGCTACCAAAAGCCAAACAGAACAAAAGTTCTGTCCACTACCAAAAGTGGACAGAACTCCCTAGACAAAATTATCAAACTAGCATGACGTCATCACGTCACCTTGCTGCCGTCTGCGCAACCTCCCCCCTCCCCAGGAGGGGGAAGGTGGAGCTCCAGACCCTCCGAGCTGGCGATCCAATCGACAGTTGGATTACTGATCAGTCGGGTGCCTTTGGCTCCGGTTTTGTTTGTTCTGTGCCTTGTGGTGTGGACTGTCTCTACAGCCCACACCAAAAGTGTGGTCTGTAGAGACAGGTTCTCTAGACCTGTAGAGGTCACAAGCCCACAGAACTTGTAGATCACAAGTTCTGTGGGCTTGTGGTGTGTGAACCAGGAGAGAGATTCCACGGTACTCGGGCTGCATGCGCCAAGGGCTCTCTTCCCTAGGTGCCCTGTAAGTACTGCCCTCGGGGCTTGGGGCCACCTTCCACAAGTCACCTTGGGATCTACCTCCGCTGTGTCCTTTACTGCTTGGTACTTGGCCGCCCCTGAAGTCAGCTGGGGTTTGTTGCCCTTGTTTGTCTCTGGGTAAGAGGTATTTTTCGTCACTGGTAGGGGCGCGGGGTACTGCACAGCTAATTTTCACCAATAACAGTGGCCGGCTCTGTTCTGCCTGGGTACGTTGTCCTCTTACAGGGTTTTTCTTTTGTTTTATGTTTTTGCCTGATGGGGGAATCTGCCTTTGTGGTCCCCCTTTGCTGTTCTCTGGGTATTTATACTTATATTTTCTGTTTAGTAATACTCCCCGCTTGGCCCCCAAGCGGGGAGTATTAGGGGAGTATTCAAAGAAGAGACGGAGGGAGGGTGGAAGAGAATGAGGGAGGGTAGAAGAGAGTGACGGAGGGTGGAAGAGAGGGAGGGATGGAGGAAGGAAGGGAGGGAGAGAGGAAGGGAGGGAGGGAACGAGAGAGGAAGGGAGAGAGGAAGGGAGGGAGGGAGGGAGGGAGGGAGGGAGGGAGAGATGAAGGGAGGGAGAGAGGAAGGGAGGCAGGAAGGGAGAGAGAAAGAGAGGGAGGGAGAGAGGAAGGGAGAGAGGCGGAGAGGGAGAAAGGCAGTGAGGGAGGCATTGTTGAGAGGGAGGGAGGCTGTGAAGGAGGGAGGGAGGTAGTGAAGGAGGGTGGGAGGCAGTGAAGGAGGGAGGGAGGGAAGCAGTAAAGGAGGGAGAGAGACAATGAGGGAGGGAGGCTCTCCTCTCAGACTCAACGTAGGCAGGACATGAGATTCACACACTAAATTAGTGGTAAAGTTTACAAATCTTGAAAGGACAATTTAACTTAACCTAAATAACTATACATTACAGAACTCTATTTTTTTTCTTATGAAATGATAAAGCTACCCATTTCATTACGTATGAGGTCAATTTTTTTTATTGAAGTTAAAATTAACGTAGATATATGACCGAACCTAACCAACCCTACCTAACCTAACCTAACCTATCTTTATAGGTTAGGTTAGGTTAGGTAGCCGAAAAAGTTATGTTAGGTTAGGTAGTCGAAAAACAATTAATTCATGAAAACTTGGCTTATTAGGCAAATCGGGCCTTGCATAGTAGGCTGAGAAGTGCATTCTGGCTACTAATATATATATATATATATAATATATATATATATATATATATATATATATATATATATATATATATATATATATATATATATAGTATATTTTGGTATATATATATATATATATATACATATATATATTATTAAATATGACCGAAAAAGTAAGATTAATAATTCTAACACGAATTTTCTCAATCTTTCGTACATTACGCTTCACTGTTGGAGGTAAATCAAAAATCACTTCTCCAAAATTCATTTTTATTTCTAGTCTGACGCGACACGGGCGCGTTTCGTAAAACTTATTACATTTTCAAAGACTTCACAAATACACAACTGATTAGAACGTATCTCTGATTTTATATCTACATTTGAGTGAGGTGGTAAGGGTGATGTGGCATTAACACAAGACAGAACAGGAGGGGATATTAATAGGGTATTAAAAGTATCAACACAAGACAGAACAGAAACAATGGGTATTGAATAGAAGTGTTTGTAGAAAGCCTATTGGTCCATATTTCTTGATGCTTCTATATTGGAGCGGAGTCTTGAGGTGGGTAGAATATAGTTGTGCAATAATTGGCTGTTGATTGCTGGTGTTGACTTCTTGATGTGTAGTGCCTCGCAAACGTCAAGCCGCCTGCTATCGCTGTATCTATCGATGATTTCTGTGTTGTTTACTAGGATTTCTCTGGCGATGGTTTGGTTATGGGAAGAGATTATATGTTCCTTAATGGAGCCCTGTTGCTTATGCATCGTTAAACGCCTAGAAAGAGATGTTGTTGTCTTGCCTATATACTGGGTTTTTTGGAGCTTACAGTCCCCAAGTGGGCATTTGAAGGCATAGACGACATTAGTCTCTTTTAAAGCGTTCTGTTTTGTGTCTGGAGAGTTTCTCATGAGTAGGCTGGCCGTTTTTCTGGTTTTATAGTAAATCGTCAGTTGTATCCTCTGATTTTTGTCTGTAGGGATAACGTTTCTATTAACAATATCTTTCAGGACCCTTTCCTCCGTTTTATGAGCTGTGGAAAAGAAGTTCCTGTAAAATAGTCTAATAGGGGGTATAGGTGTTGTGTTAGTTGTCTCTTCAGAGGTTGCATGGCTTTTCACTTTCCTTCTTATGATGTCTTCGATGAAACCATTGGAGAAGCCGTTATTGACTAGGACCTGCCTTACCCTACAGAGTTCTTCGTCGACTTGCTTCCATTCTGAGCTGTGGCTGAGAGCACGGTCGACGTATGCGTTAACAACACTCCTCTTGTACCTGTCAGGGCAGTCGCTGTTGGCATTTAGGCACATTCCTATGTTTGTTTCCTTAGTGTAGACTGCAGTGTGGAAACCTCCGCCCTTTTCCATGACTGTTACATCTAGAAAAGGCAGCTTCCCATCCTTTTCCGTCTCGTAAGTGAAACGCAGCACGGAACTCTGCTCAAATGCCTCCTTCAGCTTCTGCAGATGTCTGACATCAGGTACCTGTGTAAAAATGTCGTCAACATACCTGCAGTATATGGCCGGTTTCAAGTTCATGTCGACTAAGACTTTTTGCTCGATGGTACCCATGTAGAAGTTTGCAAACAGGACACCTAGGGGAGAACCCATGGCGACCCCATCTACTTGCTTATACATGTGCCCATCCGGGCTCAAGAAGGGTGCCTCTTTAGTACAAGCTTGGAGTAGTTTCCTCAGAATACTTTCTGGCATGTCAAGAGGAGTACAGGCTGGATCACGATACACTCTGTCGGCTATCATTCCGATTGTCTCGTCCACAGGTACGTTGGTAAACAGCGATTCTACGTCCAACGAGGCTCTTATCCCTGTGGCCCGTGTGCCCCGCAGTAAGTCCACAAATTCCTTTGGAGACTTCAGGCTGAAGGCGCAAGGAACATAAGGAGTCAGCAGGCCGTTGAGTCGCTTTGCCAGTCTGTACGTGGGTGTGGGTATCTGGCTAATGATTGGCCGAAGTGGGTTTCCAGGCTTGTGCGTCTTGACATTTCCATACGCATATCCAGGTTTATATTCCCCAATGATCTTTGGCAGGTGGAGTCCGGATTTCTTGGCGTTTACAGTTTCGATCAGTTTGTTGACCTTTGCTTTTAATTCGGCTGTAGTGTCCTTCGTTACCCTTTGGAACTTAGTTTGGTCAGAGAGTATGATGTTCTTTTCCACAGATATTCGTCGGAGGAAAGTCCTGAAAGATATTGTTAATAGAAACCTATCCTGACAGACAAATCTCAGAGGTTACAACTGAAGGCTTTTAGCTATAAAACCAGAAAAACGGCCAGCCTACTCATGAGAAACTCTCCAGACACAAAACAGAACGCTTTAAAAGAGACTAATGTCGTCTATGCCTTCAAATGCCCACTTGGGGACTGTAAGCTCCAAAAAACCCAGTATATAGGCAAGACAACAACATCTCTTTCTAGGCGTTTAACGATGCATAAGCAACAGGGCTCCATTAAGGAACATATAATCTCTTCCCATAACCAAACCATCGCCAGAGAAATCCTAGTAAACAACACAGAAATCATCGATAGATACAGCGATAGCAGGCGGCTTGACGTTTGCGAGGCACTACACATCAAGAAGTCAACACCAGCAATCAACAGCCAATTATTGCACAACTATATTCTACCCACCTCAAGACTCCGCTCCAATATAGAAGCATCAAGAAATATGGACCAATAGGCTTTCTACAAACACTTCTATTCAATACCCATTGTTTCTGTTCTGTCTTGTGTTGATACTTTTAATACCCTATTAATATCCCCTCCTGTTCTGTCTTGTGTTAATGCCACATCACCCTTACCACCTCACTCAAATGTAGATATAAAATCAGAGATACGTTCTAATCAGTTGTGTATTTGTGAAGTCTTTGAAAATGTAATAAGTTTTACGAAACGCGCCCGTGTCGCGTCAGACTAGAAATAAAAATGAATTTTGGAGAAGTGATTTTTGATTTACCTCCAACAGTGAAGCGTAATGTACGAAAGATTGAGAAAATTCGTGTTAGAATTATTAATCTTACTTTTTCGGTCATATTTAATAATATATTTAATAATATATATATATATATATATATATATATATATATATATATATATATATATATATATATATATATATATATATATATATATATATATATATATATATATATATATATATATATATATATATATATATATATATATATATATATATATATATATATATATATATATATATATATATATATATATATATATATATATATATATATATGTCGTACCTAATAGCCAGAACTCACTTCTCAGCCTACTATTCAAGGCCCGATTTGCCTAATAAGCCAAGTTTTCATGAATTAATATATTTACTATAATTTTTTTCTTTTAAAATGATAAAGCAACCCTTTTCTCTATGTATGAGGTCAATTTTTTTTTATTGGAGTTAAAATTAACGTAGATATATGACCGAACCTAACCAACCCTACCTAACCTAACCTAACCTATATTTATAGGTAAGGTTAGGTTAGGTAGCCAAAAAAAGCTAGGTTAGGTTAGGTTAGGTAGGTTAGGTAGACGAAAAAACATTAATTCATGAAAACTTGGCTTATTAGGCAAATCGGGCCTTGAATAGTAGGCTGAGAAGTGCGTTCTGGCTATTAGGTACGACATATATATATATATATATATATATATATATATATATATATATATATATATATATATATATATATATATATATATATATATATATATATATATATATATATATATATATATATATATATATATATATATATATATATATATATATATATATATATATATATATATATATATATATATATATATATATCATGAAAATAAACACGTGAATATATAAATATATATATATATAAATATATATATATATATATATATATATATATATATATATATATATATATATATATATATATATATATATATATATATATATATATATATATATATATATATATATATATATATATATATATATATATATATATATATATATATATATATATATATATATATATATATATATATATATATATATATATATATATATATATATATATATATATATATATATATATATATATATATATATATAATTTATTGGTGTATTCTGGCAGCAGGTTTTCTTTTATGCATGTCTCATTGAATATGATAGCATATTCCGTATTTACTATTTTCTGATTTAGGGCTTCTATCCCTCTTACTAATGCTCTTACATCAGGGCTCAACTGGAAGAGGAGTTCACCAAAAGTCATGTTGTTTTTAGGTGAAGAAAAGAATTGAATAACTGAAGAATATATTACACTAATTACAAAATTGCACAACGTTTCGAACCTCCATGGTTCATTCTCAAGTGAAAAGAAATTACAAAACTCGTTAATTTATACCAGTACGGGGTCAGGTGATAAAACAAGTACAATAAAGGTAAAGACAAGGGGGGATACATAGGGGATGAATAGGGGATAAATGGGGGACGAAGCACATACAAAGATTAATCAGGTGTAATAGCCTAAAATCTAAGTGGCACTGCAAGTCTCTGGCTTTGAAATTAGGGGCTAAGTCCTGCCCGTGCTTAAATTGGCAAATTGTTTGGACATCTGGAGATTGGAGATATGATTGGCAAATTGTCAGGATTTAGTGGTGATCCTAGCAGTTTGAATGATCCTGCAGGAACATTTTTATTCTTCCCTGTAGCTTCTGTGCTTGTTCCTGTTCAATGAGCATCATGAAATCATATGTTAGGGAGAGGTTAATGATGTGCTCAAAGTAGTTTTTGATGAAACTTAAAGCTTGATTTATTTTAATGTTCTTGACCTCAGATTTATCCCTCATTCATTGTCATATTTTAATGGGATACAGTTGTTAATTTCTTGTAAAATATTTTATTTGTTCTTAAAAATAGTACAATGCAGATAAAAGAGTAGCATTGTCTAATGTAATATGTTTTCAGATATTCAAATGGAGAAGTACGGGGAATTATCAATCAACATAGTCAGCCTGTGTGCCGAAAATTTACTTAGCCATCCCTTTATTGTGGTTAGAAGACAGTGCCAGGTATGAAGATGAATTTATTTGTGTCCGTTAAGTGCCAGCACTTGTGCGCGGTAAAACATGTCAACAAATTATGAGTATTTCTTTTGTATTATACTGAATATCATGAGAAGCATATAATTTCAGAAATGCAGGAATTTTAATATAAAAATATATTTTAGCTGTGTTATAAGGGGGGTTGGTACTATGTTTTTATGACAGGTGGAATAGAACTATGATTTGACCATAAGTTGATTAGTGCTGCTCATTTATAGATGGTACTGTATTTGTAACCTATCAAATTCAAATATAAATTCAGAATTTTTAGTCATTAATATTTTATCATTTATAGTTGAGTTAGTTCACACAAAATTGCAGTACATGTAGCACAACTGTGTTCAACCAGTATTCAACATAGGTGCTATTCAATAATCCAATATTTTGAAAACCTATTAAATGTTGAGGAACTGAATTGGCTGTAAATAATCATCATCAAATCCCTCTGCATAAAAAGCTTTTTGATTATAGTATAGTTTGATCATACTGTATCTAAAATTTTTATTTTTTTGGCTGCTTTGACTTCAGTCAGACATTGAAGCTGATGCTCCCAATCTCCAATGTTGAAATTAATGCTAACTCAAGTCATTTGTTGTTTTGGGTAAACATTTTCTATCATAGGTTTTAGTGAGAAAGTATTTTTAGCATGGTCTTTCTAGGCTGGTCCACATAAGCTTCTTGTGCATTAGCTCTAGTACTGCAGAGGCATCCACAAAACTACCAGACCTCTGGACTTCACTGGTTTACTGAACACCAGGATTAGATTGCTGTGCTCAAAGGTAAAGGACTGTGCAATTTGCCTAGACAGGCTAGGCAAATTGCCAGTCTGTCAGGCTAGATATACTGCCAGACTTGTTGGGCTGTCAGGCTAAACAAACTGGATGTAGACAGTTTTTCAGGCCAGACAGGCTGTCAGGCTAGACAGGCTGTAAGGATGTACTGTATTTGCTGCACAGAGTCTGTGCCACAGATTGCCAGACTAGACAGAACAGTGGTTCAGATTGCCAGACTGGACAGGACAGTGGTTCAGATTGCCAGACTGGACAGGACAGTGGGTCAGTTTGCCAGACTAGACAGAGAACAATGCGTCATATTGCCAGACTAGACAGAGAACAATGTGTCACATTGCCAGACTAGACAAAACAAGGATCAGATTGCCAGACTAGACAGAACAGTGGGTCAGATTGCCAGACTAGACAGAGAACAGTGGGTCATATTGGCAAAATAGCCAGAACAGGGATCAGATTGCCAGACTAGACAGAGAACAATGCGTCATATTGCCAGACTAGACAGAGAACAATGCGTCATATTGCCAGACTAGACAGAGAACAATGCGTCATATTACCAGACTAGACAAAACAGGGATCAGTTTGCCAGACTAGACAGAGAACAGTGGGTCATATTGCTAGACTAGACGGAACAGTGGATCAGATTGCCAGAATAAACAGAGAACAGTGGGTCATATTGCCAGACTAGACAGAACAGGGATCAGATTGCCACACCAGACAGAACAGTGGGTAAGATTGCCAGACTGGACAGAACAGTGGGTCAGATTGCCAGACTAGACAGAACAGTGGGTAAGATTGCCGGACTAGACAGAACAGTGGGTAAGATTGCCGGACTAGACAGAACAGTGGGTAAGATGGCCAGACTGGACAGAACAGTGGGTAAGATTGCCAGGCTAGACAGAACAGTGGGTAAGATTGCCAGGCTAGACAGAACATTGGGTTGGGATGGTTATTTCCACGGAAATGTGGGTGACATTTTATTTCTCACTTAACTTGTTCCAACTGTCTACCACTCTGTGAAAGTGAATTTTCTTATATTTCTTCTGCAGCTTTGTTGAGTTAGTTTAAATCTATGACCTCTTGTGCTTCAAGTTTCAGGTCTTAGGAATTGTTCCCTATCAATTTTGTCAATTCCCCCTTACTATCTTGTACATAGTGATCATATCGCTTCTTTTTCTTCTGTCTTCTAGTTTTGGCATATTTAATGCCTCTAATCTCTCCTCGTAGGTCTAGTCTTTCAATTCCGGGAGTCATTTAGTTGCACGTCTTTGCAGCTTTACCTAGACCAGGGTTAATGCTAGAGGCCACCAAGAAAAGAACACTTTGTTACGTTCAGTACTTGATTTGAGATTGTACCAGGTTCCAGCATCAATTCTATTGAGAATTAGCATGCCTTTTGCCAAGGACTTTGGCTTACCAGTAGCTTTGAGCTATATTTGGCTCTCAACTCTTGATTGACATTTCACTTCAGAGGATGCTTTGTTATTAATATTGTTGTTCTACCAGGATTTTACATGCTCTGTAATTTTTTTCTGGGTTCCAAAAGTTGTCCCAAAATAAAGGCTAATTAATGATTTGAAATTATTGAAAGTCTCCCCCTTTCCCCAAAAGCCAGTTAGCTCCTCAACAATTTAGAGTTATTTGAACCATTAGTTTCCTCATTTAAGTAAAGGTTATTGACTTCCAGTCATGGATGAGTCAAGTACTCTTGTGTTATATCTGTATGATGCTTATTTTGTCAGTTACAATTCTATTCATGGGTCAGAGCTTATTCCTGTGGCATAAAAGAGATTTCATAAGATGTATCCTCAATGTGGCATCCAAATCAAACTTTCTGTGGGGATCCCCGTCAGCTCCTTGAAGCGTCAGGGCGCCTCTGGGGCTCCCCCCAAAACTGGCGTTTCATTACATTCAAAGCTGGTTTCCCCCCCTCCCCCTAGGTGAATGTAAATAGTCAGCGTTACCATGTCCTGCCAATAACACTTGTGCCAGCTGTGATACATATGCAAGGATGTCAAGGTTTCTCTGCGTTTTGGAAAGGTCTGGGGTCAATACTTACAGTCCGAGGCGTCACCATGGCTCTAGAAGACTTCATTTCAAAATTTACACCATGGCCCAAGTAAGGAAATAAATTAATATTGTTTTTGTTAATGAATTTGGTTATATATTTTTAACCTTTATATATTTTTTGGGGGATGCTACAATTATGATGAATATTATATATACAGTACAGTAATAATAATTTTCAGTTTTATCAATATACAGTGGTACCTCGCATAACGATTGCCCCAAAAGACGAATATTTTGGGTAACGAACGGCCCGATCGGCGTCAAATCGTCCCGTATGACGAACACTGGTTTGAGTAACGTCAACACCACATGGTGGGGTCGCGCTGCTTCTTGCACATTCTTAGATGCCTCCGACGATGCACATAAATTATGTTGTTCTTGTTTAAAGATGCTAATGATGCTGGGATATAAAAGGGTGACTGCTGAGATGTTGCAAAGCATTGACATTTTTGTAGGAAAAAAGAAATGAAATGTCTGATATACAACAAATGTCAAAAAGGTTCGTTCGGTGTTCGGCAGGTAGGCTGCTCCATTATAACAATCTTTCTTTGTTTCAAATGTGTTCCATTTGTTTTTTATTTGTCATTTACGTCTCAATAATGGAGAAGCCTACCTTACATACACTGAATAAACCATTATGACATTTTCCTTTCTTCAAATGTGTTCATTATTTATTTTTCATTTGTCTTATAGCAAAAGATTCGTTCGGTGGTCGGCAGGTAGGCTGCTCCATGTTTCTTACATACAAAAAACGTAAATAATAAAAAAATGAAGAATTTTGAAAACCAGTACAAATGTCAAAAAGGTTCGTTCGGTGGTCTACAGGTTGGCTGCTCCATGTTTCTTAAAAAAAAAAAAAATAAAAGAACTGTTGAAACAATTTGAAAAATGGACAAATGTCATAAAGGTTCGTTCAGTGTTTGTCGGGTAGGCTGCTCCATTATTGAGACGTAAGTGACAAATACAAAACAAATGGAACACATTTGAAACAAAGAATGATTGACATAATGGAGCAGCCTACCCAACAAACACTGAACGAACCTTTTGCCATAACGAATATGAAAGACAAGGGCTGCTGGCTGGGTTAGTACTGCGTGAGCAACCATTTGTGGCACACGTGCCTCTGGCTCTCAAATACCTGTCTCACACGGTGTTGAAAGACTGCGCTCAGTCGGTGCAATTCAGACCCTATTGTTTGAAGAACATAAGGGTCATAACATTGGTGAAGCTAGGCGCAATAAGGGCTTAACACAACGGTCGGATGCCAGTGATACAGCACCTATGAGGATGATACAGCAAGCGTATCCAGGTGTAGCTCTGAGCCCCACCCTTGCCATCTCTAATGTATATAGATGATACATAGATGAATCGTTTTCTGCGTTCAGTGATGATGCATCTGATACAAGTAGCATAGATGAACAGTGTTAGCGGCTTCCATGGTGGTGGTGTTCATTGATATTTTCAAGAATACCTGAATCTCTTCCTGACTGATGGACACTCTTTGAGGCTAGCTGAATCTCTTCCTGTGTGGGACCTTACAAAGCGATCTTTTCAAGACTACCTTACAAATTGAGCTTTTCCTATAATCGTTTCAATACTACTTTATGCTTTACAAGCTTGGCTACATACCACCTACAAGTACTAAAGCCAAGGGTGCACGCGAGTGCGTTATTTGCAAGCACACAGAACGATGAAACAGGAAACGAAAATCTATCTGTAGCTGGTGCAAGGAGAGCAAAGTTGCGCTATGTACCATGGACTACTTCGTTGACTATTACCCACCTCCAAAGTACTGAGTGTGTAATACAGTGTGTTACTGTGTAAATAGTATGTGAAACTGTACATATTGTAATTTTAGTGAATTTTTACCACGTAATATTGTGACAATAAACATTTATTGTGGACACATTACTGACACATGTATCACAGTTTCATGGAAAATTATGAACATTCTACTGTATACATATTGTAAAGGTCACAAATATGCATCATATACGATAAAAGAAACAAATAAAACCGCATTGGAAATGCATAGAAAAAGTATTTGAAAATATATTTGTGGCAACACGCGGTGCTTGAATGGCCTGCGCGACCGTGTCTGGGAGCTTCACACACAGGCGACCAACCCCTGATGACGTCACAGCGCACCTTGTCCACGCCCTCACAGCCAAAGTAAGTGGAATTTGGTAATTATTTTTACATAGACATGTTCAGGGACGGTAATTTATCATTTTACAAAGAAAAATTATATTTTGGGGAACATTTGATGCACATTTCATGCACACTAGGGAAATTTTACAATAAACACAGTGCATCACACTGGTTACATGGGGGACACTCGTTTTGTATGACGTCCGTTTCACATGACGAACATGGAACGGATTAAATTCGTTATGCGAGGTACCACTGTACTATTCTTTTACAACACAGTTCTTTGAAATACAAAAATTGATATAATTATTGCCAATTTGGATTTTTTTTATTGCAAAAACTGATTGATGATGAAGACAATAGATATGGTGGGGAACAATTGTTAATAATTAACTGATGTAAAAGAACTAAAAAAAGGGGTAATTGTATTATTACACAATAATTAAAGTGTTATAAGTACTGTATATCAGCTACAGTAGCTATATCTTTGATTTACTATTTGCAAATGCATTAATATAGCAGGTATACTGATGAGGTTTGCACTATAGTTTTGGTACCTTTGTTGCTAGTTGACTAGTACCTCTCCGAACACACTAGCCTGAGGTGTGCAGTTACCACAGTGGTGCAAAGAGTGATGTGCTCCTCACTTAGGTGGGTGAAGCCTCATTGGATCAGGCCAGTAACTGGATGATTGACTGTTGGGCAGACTTCCTTGCCCTTGGCTAGGGGACCTCGGTGAACTTAAAAGACATTTCTATTCCTGATAATGAAATATCAGTATAAAAAACAAGAGTATCTATGAAATAAATTAGTGAAAATCCGTAGGAGCAGTGATGGGGGGGTTCGAACCCATGCGGATGTTCCCACACACATACTTCTAGCGACTGGACCACGACGTGGTATAGGGATTGCAACCTGGAGTTCTACTGAACTCTCAAGGATTTCCTGAGGCTTCTACTGAAGCCAGAACAGTGTATTGAAAGAAGAGCATCAGAGGATGAACAAGTCTTAGATGACAGAGCCAGAGTGCAGTGGGGGGGGGGGGGAATGTGTGAAAATCCTGTTCTAGCTTTAGTAGAAGCCTGACATTCTCTCACCTGGTGTGTGAACCCCCTTGGAGACGAGACCCATCGGTTATCGCGTAAGTTCGTAAACGAGAAATGGCTTGAAATTCTTGGATCAAACAGTGTTTTGCTGTTATTATATTATATACACATGTTATATATAACTATCTACATTTTTGTTGCACCATAATGAACCTCAAAGATTGTGTGTTGAGAGTTTATATTCACAGAACAAGTATCGAAAGTCAGCCTTGCGGCCAACAGTGAGTGTGGCAGGGGGCTATCCCAAATACATTTTTACATTATTATTTCAATGTCTTTCAGGGGTTTTATATCTAGTTTTCTGTAGGGAGCCCCTTCGACTCCCTGGAGCTATCGTACTGATATGCGATATATTAGTCTAGGGCATTAGTTAATGGAGTTCAGCCCACCAGGGACCACGAGCCAGAACCTGACCACCCCCTTTAGAGAGGCAAGGGAGCAATGACCTCTGGAAAACCCTCCCTGTGGTTGGGGTATTCCTTGTCTGCCATCGACTGGGGCTAGGCACCCAGAAAGGTAGTCATAACAACACAAACGCCACCTGGTAAGAAAATTGCAACCAAAAAATGTACAGGGAAACAGAACTCCCCAACTCTCAAGGAAGCAAGCAAACATCATACCACTGCTGCTGTGCCACTTGTCTGTGCAGCCGGAAGGGGGAGGGGGAAACCCCAGACCCCCCGCGTTGGCTACTCTCACACCCCAGTTTGTTGGCTGATGCGATCTGGGGCAGTCGTCAACTCTGGCCTTGATTTCTTGGGAGTGTTTTGCCTTCGTGGTGTTTCCTGATGTGTTATGGTGTTCGGTGACAGCTGTAACTAAATATACTGGGGTTACATGTGCTTAGGGCTGATTTCCCTAAGCGCCCTGTAAGTACTACCCCTGGGTGCTAAGGTTCTCTTCCATAGTACCTTCGGGACTCCACTTCCGTAGGGGTTCTTGCCTTGGATAGGAAGTGGTGGTGTTGCTGTTTGGAGCACAAGGTGTTGCACAGCTTATCTACCTATGCAGTGGCTGTGTTCCTGTTTCCTCTGGGGACGTTGTGCTTTTGCAGGGTTTTTCTTTTATTTTTGTTTTCTTTGCCTAGTGGGGGGTCTGCCTAGTTTGGCTAGTGGTCCACTTATGATATTTTGGTGGCCCTCCGCTAGGCCCTCGTGATTGTACATGTTGCAGGAGTTTCAGTGTTTTAGCTCATTTCCCCCCCCTTTTATTTCTTGGGTTTAACAGGTTTTGCAACACCTTGCCTGGGCTTCCCGTAGCAGTCAACCTACGGGCCCTAGAAAACCCTGTCGGTGCTTGGTGGATGCGTCTTCCGGGTTCCAGCTCGCCTCGTGTGAGATTGAAAGTTGCTGTGTGCCCTTGTCTCAGGGTGACAGTCATCAGTTTTGCCTTCGTCTTGCTGCCTGTTGGGTCAATGACATCTTTGACCCTAAGTCTTGCGAGACGTGTTCTCTGCTCGTGCTTCAATTTACCCATTTTGTAAACATTGAGGTTTGGGTACAGGTGGCATCCGTATTGCATGCATGGTTTAGGTTCCTACAATGCGCTAGGTTTAGTTGCCCACCCGGATGCCCCGAGGCTGCCTCGGTTTGTTTATAGGAACCTGGACTTTGGATTGTTAGTCGCTTCGACTTTGGTTCAGTCCGCACTTCCCAGTCCTTCCCTAGTTGGTGTTGTTAGCCCTGCTTCTCTCCTTTTTGTTCCTGGCTCCCAAATGTCTGAGGTTTTCGGAGTCGGGGCTTAGTTGGTGATGAGCCTCGGGCAGCTTCAGGGGTTGCCCCATTCGAGTTGGGGACGGAGGCATTTGAGCCTGATCCTCCTTTCGAGGCTTCTGGGTCCCACCAGCTGACCCCCTTCTTTTCTGCCTTTCCCCTGGACTCTGCTTTTTCTTCCGGGGTTGAGGATGTGGAGGACAGCTCTACTCCAGGTCCTATTGACCCTCCCCAGGATGCAACCCCAAAACCGTTGACTAACTCCCAAGTACCTATTTACTATTAGGTGAATAGAGGCATTAGGTGATAGGAAAAGTGCCAACCATTTCAGTCCCACCTGGGATTCAAACCAGTGATTGAAATCTGGAATTAAAGCCCCAGATTCCCAGTGGCGTGTGGAGAATGAACTCAACTGTACTCCTAAGTTCTTTTATTTATTTATTTATTTATTTTATTTATTTATTTATTTACTGTATTTATTTATACAAGAAGGTACATTGGGTTTATAAGAGTACATTGATAGTTTTTACATTTTTGTAAAGCCACTAACATGCATAGCTTTTCGGGCAGACGCAATTTCCTAAATGACCAGCCAGATCCTATATGATTAACATATTTGTTGACAATGGAGGAGGAAGACTTAGCCCACTAATCACTGCCTCATATATCCTACACACACACAACTTGATTATTCTACTTATGGAATCATACTCTATTAATAAAATGATATGGTGAATCAGTCAAGCAGGCAAGCAGGCAGCAAGTTAGCAGGCAGGCAGTTGGCAAACAGGTAGGTAAGGCAGGCAGGCAGGTAAGGCAGGCAGGCAGGTAAGGCAGGCAGGCAGGCAGGCAGGAGAGGTAAGACAGGCAGGCAAGCAAACATGCAGGTGGTCAGTCAGATCAGGTAAGGTTGACAGGCAACAAATTGTCCTCCTCATATAGAAATTTAGGGTGAGTTTCCAGTGTATTTATATAATACTGTATATTTTATGATGTGGTTTTAATATCATTGCACTAAAATACACTATTTGTAATTTAAACATTTAAAAATTATGTGCAGTGGGAGACAAAGGGCCCATTAATCAAGAAAATTAAATTTTTAAAATATTTCATAACATGTTTCATGAGACATGGACAACCAAATCCTACTGATCTGTTTAATTTTGTATTTCAACATTTCAGAGAGATCTCGCCTCATAGCTCTCCAAAGACCATAGGGCAACATTTGCTTTTAAAGTGCTCTGCCTTGGCTCTCATCACTCCATTTTATAGTGCCAGCCTTGTAGAAACTGTTCAAAGTGAAATAGCCAGTGAAAAACCAGGTGTTCTAGATGTGTTTAAGGAAGGACTAACACGCCTTCTGTCGTTCACTCAGCCACAGACAGGTACGTTTCACCGTGAGAGTTAAGTTATAATTTGTATTTACCGAGTGTAAATAGTAAGATGACTAAATCACACACATCACAAGATGAAGAAACAAAGACGTTTCTTCGACGTCAAAGAAACACACGACTTGATAGTGGTCCAGGACGAACTGGAACGTTGTTGTTCCTTCATTTCTGAAGTGTGGTTTAGTCATATCTTCAGCCATGTTATTGTGAATCGTCTTCTGCATGTAAATAGTAAATGTTTGATTTGTAATTCCCCAATGAGAAGAGTAATCATGGGGCATTTTTTCAATTGGGTAAATGTCACTGTACTACTGGTAAAAGTTTACTAGAGGTCCTAGGATATTACATCACTAATTCTCACCATAATGCTGCTATTATCAGAATCCTGGTCACTAAATCCTGCAAATGAATAATTTTCCACAAGTTTATTTTGTAAAGGGACTTGAGAAGTCATTTCATGATTCTTAGATGGACCAAACAATGGTAGTGTGCTGTGGCTACCTGCCTAGCACTGTGAACATCTTGAACAGCATTTTGTTCACTGATATCTGAACATTGTACAGTCTTTATCACAGTCAGGCTCTTCTGTAATATTATCATCGCAAAATAATAGCAGTTACATACAGTATATGCCGGCCTACAAGTCGATCCGGTACATAGATCGACCCCAAAAATTTAGAGATGGAATTCAGGTTTAGGCTTATATTCACTGCATAAAACGACCGTGAAATAAGGCCACACCACTTCCCCCTGCATGGAAAGAAAAAACAAAGATATCTCACAAATATAAGGTTGCTTAACCACTTAATTGATCCAACCGAGTATTCTCGGTCGGTGGGAAACTGCGCCAACTGAGAAAACTATTTCTGGGGGGAGCCCCATCGGCTCCCCGGAGCTTTACCGGCTGATATGCTAATGTCAGACTTTGGCATCAGTCATGTGTATGGAGTTCTAGGGCCTACCGGGGACCACGGCCAGAACCTGGCCCCCTCAGAGAGCCAAGGGGAGCAATGGCCTATAGAAACCCCCGTGTGGTTGGAAGCATTCTATGTCTGCCATCGACCGGGTCAAGCATCCAGAAAGGTAAGCATTCCAAAACAAACCCCTATTCTGGTGAAAATTGCTACCTAAAGCCGAACTAGTGGATAGAACTCTTCAACAGAAAACAAGGAAACTAGTATGACGTCATACGTCACCGCGCCGCTGTCTGCGCAGCTCCCCCCTCCCCGGGAGGGGGAAGGGGGAGCCCCAGACCTCCCACGCCGGCTATCCACCCATCAGTTCTTCGGCTGATGCTATAGGCAACGGTTCTGTGCTCTGGCTCCAGTGGTTGTTTCAGCACTGTACCTAGAGTGTGGTGTCTGTTTTCTAGGTGGTGCGTGAGCCGGGAGTGATTCTCCAGTACTCGGGCTGCATGCGCCTAGGGTTCCCTTCCCTAGGTGTCCTGTAAGTACTGCCCTTGGGGCTTGGGGCCACCTTCCACAAGTTCCTTGGGTCCTGCCCCTGCTTGGCCGTTTACTGCTTGGTTTTCGGCCGCTCTTTGTGTGCTCGGGTGTTCTGTCTCTCTTGTTCGCCTTAGAGTAAGGGGCAGTTTTTGCACTGGTGGGGCGCAGGGTACTGTGCAGCTTGTCTTTACCAATCATAGCGGCCGGCTCTGTTCCGCTTGGGTACGCTGTCCTCTTACCGGGTTTTCTTTTTCTTTTTGTTTATCTACCTGGTGGGGGGGGGGGGGGGTCTGCCTTCGTTCTTGCCCCTTGTGTCCCTTGTGTTCTGAGTATTTTCTGGTGGTACCCCCTGCTAGGTCCCTGTGAGTGTACACATCCCGGGGGTTCAGCTCTTAGAAAGTTGTTTGGTAGCTTTGGGTGCCGGTTAGCAGTACCCTGCCTGGGATTACCTGAGTGCGAGTCCTCTTATAGTAAACACTCGGGACCCTGGGAAACCCCTGGGGGCGCACGGGTCCGATGGATGTGACCCCAGAGTCCCCCCCTCGCTTCCAGCGAGTTTGAGGGTTGCTCTCACCCTTTGTCTCTGGGTGACTCTGTTTTGCCTCCGTCTGCTGCCTGTGGGGTCGGTGACACCTTCGACCCGGAGTCCTGTGAGTTTGGTTGCTCGTTGGGGCTCGGTTACCCAGTTGTGCTGACAAAGCGGGTGCGGGCAGCAGGGGCGTTGCACTTGAGCCTTGGTGGTGGCAACGTTCTCGTGGTTTCCTCCCCGGGAGCCCCGGGGCTGCCCCGTTGTAGTTCGTTCTGGGACTTGGGGGTGTTGGTTGCTTCGGTTCCATCCACGCCCCCCTTGTCTTTCCCCTGGATCACCCTACCTGCCTGCATCCGGTTCCTTACCGTCTGTAGGTTCGGGGCGGGGATTTTGATGGTGTTGCGACACGGGGAATTCCCCTTCCAGGGTTGTGACGGGGGCATTTGAGCCTGTTCCTCCAGCCGTGTTGTATGAATCTGCCAGTGGGCTCCCTTCCTTAGTGTTTTCACGGCTGCCCCGGTTTTCTGGTACGGCCGGGGCTTTGGGGGAACGGCTCGGCCCCGGGGCCTGTCGTGTAGGTTCCCGGGGCTGGGGAGGGGCTGACTTGGGGGGCCTTGGCCCCGTTGGACCCCGTGGGGTTTTTTTTTATCCCCCTCTAGGCGGGGCTTGTGGTTACGCGGAGTGGGGTCTTTCCTCCCCACTCGCCGTACGTGCTGTTGGGCGTCGGCCCCTCCCGGGTTCGGTTCCTTGGCCTTTGAGTCGGTTGGTTCCGTCCTGTGGGTGGATGTTTCCTCCCACCCCTTTTTGGGATGGTGTTTTCGTCATGTTTCCCCGTTCGATGGGGTTCTGCGTGACTTCTGATCTCGGGTGTGCCTGCGCCTTCGTGTGCCTTCGGGACTAGTGTTGGCTTCTGTGTTCTCGAGGGTACGGGAAGGTTTTTCGCTACTTCCCGCATTATTGGAACGTCTGTCGGCTCCTCGTCCTTGTCGCCCTGTTGGGCTGCTTGTCGCCCTGTTGGGCTGCTTGTCGCCCTGTTGGGCTGCTTGTCGCCCTGTTGGGCTGCTTGTCGCCCTGTTGGGCTGCTTGTCGCCCTGTTGGGCTGCTTGTCGCCCTGTTGGGCTGCTTGTCGCCCTGTTGGGCTGCTTGTCGCCCTGGTGAGAGAGTTGTTGCCAGGAGGCAAGTGGTGTCAGTAGTTAGGGTTTTTTGTTAAGGGGCAGGTAGTGTAAGTTACGTATTCTCATGGGAGGCAGGCTGTCAGCCAGGCAGCTGACAACCAGATGAAATGGTGATAAAATGGTGTCAGGGGGGCATTGGTGAGAGAGTTGTTGTCAGGAGACAAGTGGTGTCAGTAGAGGATGGTTGTCAGTGGTAGAAGTTGTCAAGGGAAGCTGGAGTAATAGTGGTGTCAGTAGAAGCTGTAGAGGCAACACGTGACTGGTGCCTCCATGCTCCAGCCCCCCCCCCCTCCTTCCTGCACCTGACCATCAGCCACTAACTCTCCTCTCCTCTCGTTGTCAGATGCCACGAATAAATTTAATGGTAATTATCGCATTATCTACACTGAAAATAGCCTTTTTATTAGAAAAATGTCATATTGGAGCAATAATAATAGTGAAAATTGTGATATATATACAGTAAATATTTTAAACAGTTTGAACACATTTCCTTTTCCCAGAATTTTTAATACAATTGGGGTGTAGATAACATCGCTCCTTGAGCCATTGGGGGTGGGAGAGGGGGTTTCCTGGATCCCTCCCTCCCTCCCTCCCTCTAACAGCCTACGTACTGTACTGTAATACATTAGGTATTAATACAGTACTGTACTGTATAAAATGAATAAAACTTCAAAACAGACAATATTTTATTAGTTATAACAACAAACAATATTATTTGAAAACAATTTGTAAGTCTATTTAGATTAAATTTTGAGGAGGCCAATAAAACAAGCACAGGTCGTGTGAACGTTAGGCCTTGGTGAGGTGGCTGGCACCATTTCAGGTGGTGTCAGGGGAGGCAGGTGGTGTCAGTGGAGGTAGGTGGGGTCATTGGTGGAAGATGTCAGGGAAGGCAGGTGGTGGAAGGTGTCAGGGGAGGCAGGTGGTGGAAGATGTCAGGGAAGGCAGGTGGTGGAAGGTGTCAGGGGAGGCAGGTGGTGGAAGATGTCAGGGAAGGCAGGTGGTGGAAGGTGTCAGGGGAGGCAGGTGGTGGAAGGTGTCAGGGGAGGCAGGTGGTGGAAGGTGTCAGGGGAGGCAGGTGGTGGAAGGTGTTAGGGGAGGCAGGTGGTGGAAGGAGGCAGGTGGAGTCAGTGGTGGAAGGTGTTGTCAGGGGAGGTGGAAGTGGAGAGAGAGGGAGTGTAGGGAAGCAGTAAGGTAGGTGGAGGGGGGTAGGTTGCTGACCACGCATGGTTGCCAACCTCTCATTCATACTCTATTAAAAATCTCAATCTTAGCTGTAAAATATTGATGCCAAAATATGTTAATTTTCATGTATTAATATACATCATTAATCATTAACATGTTTTATTGTTTCCTGTAGAAAACAATAGCTGACTTGGCATTGTGGTGTGTATGGCCGGGTACCTGGGGGGGGGGGGTCCTGGAGGTGTGAGAGGAGACCTGTCAACCCATCAATTATTTTTTTTGTCAGGCGAGTCGAGATGCTTCCAAGCCTGCTGCTTCAATACACCCCAGGGATGGTGTGGGTGGTGTGGTGTGGTGTGGTGTGGTGGGTGGTGTGGTGTGGTGGGTGTTTACGTGTGGGTGGTGTGGTGTGGGTGGTGTGGTGTGGTGTGGGTGGTTGTGGGTGGTGTGGTGGGTTGGTGTGGTGGGTTGGTGTGGTCGGTTGGTGTGGTCGGTTGGTGTGGTCGGTTGGTGTGGTGGGTGGTGTGGAGGATGGTGTGGGAGGATGGTGTGGGTGGTGTGGTGAGTGGTGTGGGTGGTGTGGGGGATGGTGTGGGGTGTGGGGGATGGTGTGGGTGGTGGTGTGGGGTGTGTGGGGTGTGTGGGGTGTGGGGGTGTGTT